GAAAGAAAAATATCCCTTCTCCCCTTCCTCCTCATCAGGATGAAATTTTCCTCTGTGATTTTCAGTCACACTGAGGGCAGAGTTTCAGAGAATGCCTGGTGGAGGAAGCCAGGTAAAGCGCTGAGGCGGCGACTGTCCTCAGCCGCAGAGGGCCTGGAGACGGGGTGGGATCCCCGTGCCACCCGTGTCTGCCTGCCGAGACCTTCCTTCTGTAGGACACGGCTTGTCCTACACAGACACGGGGGAGCTGAGCAGCGTGGCGCGTGGACACGGTCCTCGGTGGGTTGTCTCAGCACCCATGAGCTCCCAGCAGAGCTGTGTCGGCTTCCTGCTGACAGGCGTCCCTCGTGGCTGTGTCCTGACCGTGATGCTCACACCCGTGAGAGAAGCGGGGCCTCACGGGAAAGCAGCGGCTGCTGAGGCACAAGGTGGGCACGCTCAAGCCAGCGTGTGAGCCGGGAGGCGGGACCAGAGGACAGTGAGCATGCTGCCGCCTGCGTGCCGGGGACGTGGGCTCGGCAGCCAGGAGTGGTGTGACAGCAGGCAAGGCAAGGCTGTGGCCTGTGGCTGTGGGGGGAAGGCAGTGGCAGTGGCCCAGCGTCTGTGCCATCTACCCCGGACACTGTAGCAAAGTGGACAGCGGGCTTAGCAGACCGGAAAGCAGTGCTTCTAGGCCTTCCCAATGCTGAGACCCCAATAAGCTCCTCATGCTGTGGTGACCCCGACCACAACCTCATAACTGTAATTTTGCTACCATTGTGAATAGTGACGTAAACATCTGACATGAAGGATATCTGACATGCGACCCCTGTGAAAGAGTCACTCAACCCCCAAAGAGATCGCAGCCCGCAGGTTGAGAATCCTGCTGTAAAAGCGGAAAGCCCCTGCCTCACCAGGAACAGGCCCCTTACCCAACAGCCAGCTTGACAGCAGAGAGGCAGTGGAGGGCCAAGGGCCTCTGCCGGAGCACACAGCGGCTCTGCTGCTGATCTATGGCTGGGGTGGGGCTTAAGAAGCCGAGCAGTGTCGGGGCACAGTGATGCACCCCTCTAATCCCAGCACGCAGGGAGGCAGAGGCAGGAGGAGCTCTGTGTGTTCGAGGCCAGCCTGGTCTACAGAGTGAGTTCAGGACAGCCAGGGCTACACAGAGAAAACCAGTTTCAAAAAATTAAAAAGAAGAAGGAGAAGGAGAAGTTGAACAGTAATTTTTAAAGTATGTGATATTAAAGTTAAGAAGCTGGTAGGCTCCAGGGCTATTTGCATCCCCTTAAATACTACTCTAAACTTTCATAACCCATGAGGTTATTGAGGGCCTCTGTCTCCCACGGCCAGAGTGACTAAGAGGGCTCAGTCCTGAGTGGCTCATGACACAGCCCTGGCAGAGCTGCTTTCATCAGATTCTCAAAGAAACGCTCCACCCCAGAAAGGTAAAGAGGTGCTGGTTTGAGTTACTAATTGGAGTCGAAAGCCAGCCATGTTAACTAAACTAGTTTATTTCTGCAGGAAAAGTCCCCAGCACTCAGAACAGCTTCCTCTCCTGGACTCAGGACCAGGCTCAGGAGGGTCAGCTCGCCCTGGTGGCCATCATGAGGACTGCAGGAGCCGCAGTCTCCTGGGGAGTCTTCCAGGAGGACAAACTGGGCAGGCCCTGGAGCACACGGACAAGGGCCGGCTCTACTGTTACTAGCCGTGTAGCCGCGCCCACATGCTTTGTAAAACGGTGATAACAAAGCAGATGTCAAGTCATTGCCCAGCCATGGAAGTGTCAAGACAGGTAAGTTTGATGAAAGAAAAGCCTGGAATAAAAAATAAAGTGAGGGAGACAGGTTCTTCACTTCCTGATGAGGCGCAGGAAGGGCAGTGTCAGGAGGAGGAGCAGATGGAGCCCCAGTTCCTGCCTCCAGCCCTGGTCTGGGGCATCAGAACGAAGCCCTGACTGAAGGGAGTTTCTCTCTCCGGCTCTCTTTTCCTCCCTCTCCATGTTCACATGCATGTCTATACACTGTGCAAACGTGTGTCCACAGGAAACTCCTGCACCAGCCAGCTGGAGCTGTGAGCAGCACAGGCCTCCTCTGGTGACAGCCACCCTTCAAGGTAGCAGATTGAAGGCTTAGGCCCGAGACACTGACACTCGGGACACTGCTGGAGGTCTCAGGAAGGTGTGGGACTGACAGGCAGAGGGTAGGGAGGCTGGTGGCCTCCCTGTCCTGAAGGATGCACAGCAGGACCCCTGGGAGATGGTGGAGTTGAGCCAGGTCCTGCTGTGTAGGCAGCTAGTGCTGGAGGGGACCAGTCAGAGGTCCAGCGCCAGAAAGGCCTGATTGCAGAGGCTGCGAGGGTCACACTCAGAGCACAAGGTCCACCCAGAAGGCCCGGGAGACACTGCCTCCAGCAGGCTTCTCCTTATTGCATTGTGGGAGATAGATGAGGTCCAAGAGTGGAGTCAGAAAAGCCAGCAGGGCAAGAGGCTGCTGCAGGGGCGAGCAAGAACCAGCAGAGGAAGGCTTTGGGGTGGAGGCTGGAAAGTGGGAAAGACAGAGAGGAGACGTGTGGCCAGAGCAGCAGCCCATGGGTTAGCGGGTCAGGGGACGGGGTCGGGGGTGTTTCTGAGGTAGCTGAAGGTGGAGATCGTGAGCAAGGCATCTGGGAGAAGAGGATGAGGAGGGGAGGCACCAGGAGAGGGAGGACAGCTTCGGTAGAGTTCCTGTTTGAAGAGAGTGGGTCTGGGGAGACAGCTTGGGGACAAAGTGCTTACTGCACAAGCAGGAGGAGCAGAGTTCAAATCCCAGGACCCACTTGTAATCTCAGCACTCAGGAGGTGAAGATATGGGGTCCCCCAGCAGTCTGGCTGGCTAGACTAACCAAAATCAATGAGATGCAAGTTTAGCAAGAGACCCCACCTCAGCAAAGTAGAGAGCCATCGAGAAATACACTCAGTGTTAACTTCAGACTCTACACACACACACACACGCACACACACACACACACACACACACACAACACCACATGTGAGTGCCCACACACATGAAAATACATATCTATTTGCACATCATAAACACAGGCACAAGGTTTAGAAGAGTGTTTGGGGCAGGCTTTTCTAGGGGAACAGAACCAAGAGAATGCATGTGCTATAAAAAGAATTAGATTGTCTTACACGTTCAGAGCTGGCTAACCCAAGCATGGCTGTCTGCATGCTGCAGAGGCAGAAAACACAGTCACCACTCAGCCCACAAAGCTGGACAAAGCGGAATCAGGGCTGGAAGCTCCCTGGAGGGCTGCTGGTATTGAGTCCACGTCAAAAGGCCAGAGAGTCTGGAGTCTGACGTCAGCAGCAGCAGCAGGAAGATGGGGAAGGCAAGAACACGCGTGAGCTCTGTCCTCAGCCTCTTCCTTCTCCTGATCACTGTCCCAAGTGTCAGTCATCTCTGGAAATGCCCCCGTAGACTCCAAGGGTGTATTTCACCAGCCCAAGACCTCTCCTAATGCAGCCAAAACCAACCATCACCAATAATAAGCTTACTGAGGCAAGGGTGAAATCACAGTACCTCTACAAGGACAAAAAGATGACTCTAATGAATGTGTTGCTGAGCACGGGAAGCCCCAGGCCAGCACTCTACGAGAGGGAGGGCTAGATAGGAATCCTCACACGATTGGGATTCCTGCAAAGTGATACCTGGTGAGTGTGTCTGAGACACGCCGGAAGGTGTTCAGGGTCCGGCAGAGTGGAGATGTCATGCAAGGACACAGGAGAGAGGCCAACCTCAGAAGCCACAGGAGGATGGCCAGTGACGGCAAGACAGAGAGGACAGAACCGTGAGTGGAGGCTTAAGAACTGATGAGATCAGATGCCTGGACACAGCGTGGACACGAAGAACAAGAGCTGAAGACACCATCAAGCTGAAGGATAACCAGAGAGTGGGAAGTGGCAGAAACCCCGCGCCGGTTACACAGAGCGAGAAAGCAAACAGAGCCAGCATCCATATGAGCTTAACCACAATAATCCCAGCACTTGGTAAACTGAGGCCGAAGGACTGCAAATTCAAGGCCAGCTTGGGCCGTAGATTGGGCTCTGTCTCACTAGCTAATAAAACCAAAATGATAAAATGAAGTGAATTACTTATGAAACACCTAGTGACTATTGTGCAAATGTTTGGGACATAGAAACTCCAAACCCTGGAAGAGCAGATGGGCGACTAGGTCAAGAAACAGCCCAAGGAGAAGAGAAGAGAGGAGCTGGAAGGGCCCCCCTGTGAGGCAGGGAGGGGAACTGAGGTGACGCCTCCCTGTCAGATGAGATGAGGGGCATGTGGAGGCAGGACCTCCCCATGAGAGGATGCTGTGAGGTTCGTGTATCTCTACAGAAGGACACCTCGGAACCACACGCTCCGTCACCCCCGAAACAGAAGTAACTGCCTCTTCATCAAAGCAGGTTCCAGGGAGACACGAAGATAAACCTGATGTACAATGTCATGGGCACCTCGCAGGAACAGGCATGCAGTCCTGTGGCTGCTGAGGCCTCTTGGCCGTGGGCAGCCAGGGGCAGTTGTGTGACCACTTCCTGTGCCTGTGTAGACGCCTACCTAAATCCTCACGTCAAAAAATGCCTACTTGCCCTCAGGCTCTACCCAAGGGACAGGGGACACAGATAGGCCAGAGCAGTGAGTCTCAGAAGTTTTCAGATGTGCCAGCACCGGGACCCACATGCTGCTGGCTGACTCAGCTAACATGGGGCAGAGCCTGGACAGCCACGGGCTTCCCAGTTCCCCCAGACACACCAGTATACAGAGTGGAGGACCACGGTCTTTGTGCTTCATCCGTTGCGTGTCTAGTCTCTTCCCATCAGTGAAGCAAGCTTCTTTCTCAAAGAGCAGGCCCCACTAGACCTCCCTCTGAATAGACCCAGTACCCCAGCATCCAAAGAACTCCTGCCCAGACCTCCCAGTTCTGGACTGCGTGGTGGCAGGAAAGGGGAGGCCACAAGTGGCACCGCGGGCACTCACCTTTTGGTAGCTCCGTGCAAGGCCACCCGGGTCTGTGCTGCCAGGTAGCTCAAGAAGCTGTGAAGGGCAGGTTGCTGTGAAGGCAGGGCCCAGGGCAGGCGGCCTTTCTCCTGTTCCAGGTCTTCCAATCTCTGCTTCAGTGTCTCTGCTGGAAACCCAAAGAGGTAAAAGAGCGAGGAGACTGTGAAACTCAGGAAGGTAATTCCCTATCTTTTCTCAGCCCAAGCCCAGCTCTGCCTGAGCCCCTCCACGCTGAGGGCTGTTTTCCAGGCATGTTGGTTTCTCCAGGGCTCCAGAGACCTTCCCCTGGCTTCCTTTCCCAGCCAGCAGGGACTGTGATTCAGCGTCCATGGTTGTGACTATGCCCCACACCAAGAGAGCAACTGGTGGGTTTTTTTCTAAATCGTGGTGATCATTTGGGGGAAATTTGCAAATCTGGAGGACTCTAAAAGAGCAGGTTATTGACTAGTTCTTTGGTTGGCTGGTTGGTTGGCTGGCTGGCTGGCTGGCTGGTTAGTTGGTTGGCTGGCTGGTTGGTTGGCTGGTTGGTTGGTTGGCTGGCTGGCTGGCTGGCTGGCTGTTTGGTTGGTTGGTTGGTTGGCTGGTTGGTTGGCTGGCTGGCTGGTTGGTTGGTTGGCTTTACAGGAAGGGTGCCATGGAGCCCAGGATAACCTGGAATTCTCTTTGTGGGTAAGAACAGCTTAGAACTTCCAATTCTCCCGCCTCCATCTCCCAAGTTCTACCGTTATCGCCATGGGCCAGCACATCCCATACCCAGTGCTAGGGATTGAACCCAGGGCTTCCAATAGGCTAAGAAAGCATTCCACCAGCTGAGCTACAATCCCTAGCACTAAAAGACACGGTTTGGAGAAACCAACACCCGAAGTCAACATTTTCAAAAACACAAAATTTCAGTTTTAAAGAAAGAAATCAAAACTGCTTATCAAGTTGTAGCTATCACAGGCCTTGAAGGCACAGAGCAGTATTCACACTCCCTATGCCAGAGGTGACTGAACCTGCTCTGTCACACAGTAGGTCTTAAGGTTGTTCTAATGACCTCAGGTCACCTCAAACAAGCTATGAATAGGGATCACTATAAAACCACTTAAAAACAAGCCACACATATCAGAATCCCTTCTAGTGAGAACTTACTCTTATAATCAATTTAAAATAACAATACGTTTCCTATAAAGCCATCTTTGAACCAGGATACCATGCTTAGGAGGCTGAGGCACGGGAATCCTTAATTCAAGCATAGCCTAGGCTACACGGCAAGAGCCTCTTCCAAAACAATAAATGAAAAATAAAGCTATATGTGAGGAAAAGTAAGACTGATCTAAACTCTACCCTGCCTTCACCAGGATGGCACAGCAGAAAAAGGAGCTCGCCACCAAACCTGAAAACCTGAGTCCAACCCCCACCGCCCCCACGGTGGAAGAACCAACCCGCATACATTGTCCTACAACACACACGCGCACACACACACACACACTGTGGTGTGTGTGCAAAATCAGTAAGACAATGGAGTTGGGCATGGTGCAGGCAGAGGTAAGCAGAGCTCTCTGAGTCTGAGGCCAGCCGGGTCTACACAGAAACTTTCAGCATGTCTCTAAACGAATAAATGAGTAAGTGACTGAATGAAAGACATGAGTCCCATCCCTCAGGGCTCGCATCCCGGTGTCCTCCCAGGTGCCTGTGACCTTGAGTCTCTCCACCAGGCCATTATAGAAAGAAAGGACCTCAGACGGTCAGTACTGGCTATATTTACTGAGCTCTGCTCCTCTGTCCTGTACACATGTCTCTTGCTGTGACATGATAAGAACATTCCAGGGACGTCTCCTAGGCCACTGTAGTTCACAAGATGCCGCTGCATATCCCAAGGGCCCTACAGACCATTGCCATCAAGTCCATTCTACATGAATAGAACTGATTGATTGATACATTGCTAGAAGCTCGGCCTGTGAATCAAGCCTCACCTCACAGGCCAAGTTACACTAAGTCACAGCAGATATAGCCCTCTCCCTGCTGCTCCTCTGCCCACACACGCCCAGGTGAAGGGAAGGCAGTGAATGAGCAAGCATCTGGAGAAAGTCCCCATCTGTGAGTGGCTTTCCCATAAATGCAGCACGTGACCTTCGGTAGAATCCATCACTTGTTGCTGAAACATGAGGCTGAAGCAACACAGGAAGAAAGGATGTATTTGGGCTCACAAAGATGGGGCGGTCTAGAGCTTGACTCCATGGCATCCTCAGTCGGGAGGCAGAGAGATGGTGCTCTCTTTCCCCTTTTTACCCAAACCAAAATCCCTGCCCTAGGGATGGACCTCCCTCGCCCAGGTAGATCTTGCCTCCTCAGTTAAACCTTTCTGGAAAATCCTCATAGACACACCTGGAGTCTCAGCTCCTGGTGAGCCTAAATCCAGTCAAGCAGACAAAGACTCACTATCCCAGGAATGTGCCCAGGGTCCTACTGTCACAGAGTACCGAAAAGGGGGCTCCAGGGACCAAGTCCCAAGCAGCTGGGCTCTGTCCACACCGCCCTTGTCACCACTGCCTGCCAGAGCTACCGATGTCGTCTTCCAAGCACTGTGGGTCGTACACGCTTTTCAATGTATGTTCATGAGACACAGCACTCGTTTCTCTGTGGCCCAGGCTGGGAAGGGTTCCCCAGACCACACCGAGACACCCCCCCTCCTTTAGCAAGGATGTGAAGGTCATGTGGCTTTTTCTCAGTACCTTATATGTTGTGCTATAAAATCAATAAAACTCTTAAGTTACGTGCTTATAAAATAATACATGCTAATGCAGTTCTGATGAGGTCTGCTGTGCAAGGGAGAAAACCTGAGCTGACCTCCCAGCTTAGCTGCTCCCAGCTGTCTGACCTTCAAATTACTTAACCTTTCTAAGCTCCAGTTTCCTGGCTGTTAAAAAAAAAAGAGGTTAATAATAATCTCTACATTACGGACCTAGGATTTAACCACCATAATCTAAACAGAGAACAGAGCGTTAAGCTTCGTGTCTGCACATTAGTTAATGTAATGTCGAAGGCCTGGCTGGCATTCGTAGCTCCCACTGCTGTGGGAGGCCCGTGCTGTGCTTAACAACCCCAGCCTGGCCTCCCTTGGTCCTCTGCCATGTTCCAAACTGTCCCCTAGTTCTAGGTGGGGGTCCCTAAAAGGTACAGGCTAATCCAGCAAAACAGTTACGTTGTGAAGAATTTCAAAGGCAGATGCAGGGACACAGCAGGAACGTCCCGGCTCAGCTCTGCTCTACACCGTCACTCACCCTGGAGGGCTCCGCCAACTGACGTTCTCTGATGGGTTTAGAAAAGGGAATCTGGGTGCTCAGCTCTGGCATCAAAACTTTGGCCACTCTCCCAACTTCTCAAGTGTCCTGGGCTCTAACCGTGCCATCAGGTGCCACTTCCTGGCTGGCATCCTCTCCGGTTGGCATTCTGCGCCTAATTGTATAGACTGCTAGCTCACTGGCTGCCCTGCTTGCCCCTCCTTTCACCGATGAACTGTACCAAGCAGAAGCCCTAGGTGACACTCGCCTTGATGTCTCAGCAGCACTCATAGTGAGCAAACCAAGGAGGATGAGGGTAGACGGGGCCTGGGCACCAGAGCCACATAAACCTATGGAGGAAATCTGCTGCTGGCCTCAAGGAAGCAGGAGCCAAGGAATGAGCAGCGGTGGGCTGTGATGAAGCAGTCAACACTCCTCAGCCCAGCCGCTGCCCTGTGGGGAGCTTCTCCAAATGGGCAGAAGGTCACTGCGGCTCTCAGGCCAAGCCCTGAGGTGACCCAGTGCTGGTGACAGAGTGGTCCTCTGTCAGGCTCTGACAGAGACAGGAAAGTGTCCCCCTCCTCTACCGACACCACAGCTCCCTCTTGGCTAGTTCCTGAGCTGCTGGGCAAGGTCAGCCTGCCCTGCCCAGCGAGGATCGCAGACTCCCGGACACAACCAGGCCCCTCCACCAGCCACAGCGCCTCCCCTCTCCGGCCGCAGGCTTCCTGCGTCCACAGGAGCGATGTCCTGTCACTGTACTTGCCACCTCGAGGCTCACAGACCAAGTTGCATCTGGTTAAGGGGAGTCCCGGAGGCCCCGGCCTGGTCGTTTGCTCACCTTACGTCCCAGCCACTAACAGCACATGGATCCACGGCATCGATTCCCCAGAACCACCTAAACGCCAGTGGGCACACCCGGCCGCCTGTAACACAGACGTGAGGCGCAGAGACGGGGCTGACAGTCTAGGCTAGCTGTGTGGCTGAGCTCTGGGTCCGGAGTCCCTGCGTCAGCCTCGGGTCTCATCCATGAACACGTACATGTGCCCACATGTTGCAAACACACATACACACCATGTATACATACATGCATACATATATACATAATACGCAAGAGAAGAACGTGTCTCAAGCCCTGTTTGCGGCTTTCCTGCCTCAGACGGTCTGAGTGTTCTCCCACGGGGGTCTCTGGTGCGGAGCCTTCCTTGTGCTCGGCCCGTGTGTTCACTCCCTGCTCACTCTCCTAACAGCTGGGACACTCCCAGCTCCCTCCATGTCCAGCTGCTGCGTGCCAGCGTTGCCCCGGACGCTCTCACGCATCTCGTCACAAAGCGTGGCTTCAGCGGGGCGCAGTGCCGCTCAACTGTAATTGCAGCAGCTGGGAGGCTGAGGAGGGAGGCTGCTGGGAGTTTAAGGCTAGCCTGGACTACACAGTTAAGGGAGGGAAGAAGAGCAGAAAGGACTTGTGCGACCTAACTGGGCACATTCAGGTGTCCTCTGCTTGTGAGTGAACTATATCCCTCCCTGTGTTTTCAGCTAAATTTGGGCAAACTGAGCATGCCTGGAGGCTGGCAGCCTGGCACTTCACTCTTTCACATATGTGGTTTGGGACTTTTCTTTTAGGGTCTCTCTGCATAGCTCTGACTGTCCCGGAACTCAGTATGTAGACCAGGCTGGCCTCAAACACACAAGAGGGATACCTCCATCTGCCTTCCGGGTGCAGGAGTTAAAGGCGGGTGCCACAACATCCACTGTCACTTTTCCTTTCCAGTCATGATCTTAATCTGAGCATGCTCAGGACTGCCCCCCTCATGGCAGTATTACAGACTCACCCTGAGAGAGCTGTCTCTGCTGTTTCCTCTTG